AGCTGCAAATGTTCTGCGCCTTAGCGTAGGGTTTTGGGGTTTATCCGCCTCTAGAAGCCGGGCGCATCAAGACAAAGCCCTTTGGGTGGTGATCTTCAGAGCTCGGTGAGAAGGGCTTGAGCCGTCTTCCTGGTCTATGCTCCTTCTTTCATTGCTCAATTTTTACATCAAAAGTGAATTTTGAACCCCAGCACGAAGTTAGAGAGACGGTAAAAGAAAATCTTATTCATGTGAGGGAGACTATGCGCAGGTAGATCCCGGGGGAGTGGAGGAAGCTGAACTTTAAGCCCACGGACTCGTACGTACAGATGGGAACGGCAGCTCGTGGTTTGTTTCTAACATTGCAACAGCGCTCGGCTCCTTCCTCCCTGGGAGCTTCGGTACGTCTCTGCAAGAGCGACTTTGCTTCTGACTCTAAACCAGCCTCGTTTTTCTGTAAACGTCTTTTTGTAAAGTGATGGCAACATCTTATCTGAGCTATTTATGATTTGGTGTTAGCCCCCAAGTACAACAATCTACAGGCACGTAGAGTAAAGACTGCAGGAGGGTCTACGTGGTAGGATGTAGAAGGCGTGACGCAACAAAAATGAAGAAGAGTTTGGGTCAGAAAGCGAAGACTGTTTTAGTTTGATGCGATAGTTGATAAGGTCCTCGGGGCTGTCACCGTCTGTGGTTAGGGAAGGGGATGTTGTCACCCAGGCGGGGTTAGTTCATCCTCATGGATCTCTCTGGAAACCCGCTTGGAGCTGAGTCTGCTGATAGGTGAAAATGAGGAACGAGCCTTTATTTTCAAAACTTCCAAGACAGGCTGAATTGTCCGGAGGAGAGCCTCATAGCAGGAAGGCAATTTTTATTTCAAAACCAAAAAGCCCACAAGAGTTGGGGTGGTTTGCACAATCGGATGGTGATGGTACGTTGTCTTCCTTCCCACAAGCGCTTGTCATCTGGAGGATGCTCTCAACTCGCTTTTTTTAGCGATCTGGTGGCCAACGCTAGAATCCAAAATCATTCTCTTCTAACATCTTGGAAACGCTTTGTTGCCACGTGCCCAGAAAAAATTTCCCCAAATAACGTTGATCTCCTGAAGTACTCGGCTGCTCTCTGATCCTTGGCGAGATGTGTTCCTCTCTGCAGTGAGTACAGACCGGGTATTCGGTAGCTGCAGCCCAAGCCTAAGAATTTATTTATTTCCCAGCCTGACATTTCTTTAAGGGCTTCTTTACCCGTTCTGCTGCCGTATATAGCGATTCTTGCTAAATACTGCTTCAGGGTTTGTTTTTTTTCCCCATATATTGATTGACAGCCCAAGTAATCATCGCTGGAGCTGTCTGAGGGCGCGCAAGCCAACTTATTTCAGCTCTTGAAGGGTTTATATACTTTCTGAATATGCTGCAGTGAATTTTGGGCATGCAAATAGCTTCTTTTACTACCGTCGGTCGTTAGCGGTCACAAAACCATTAATAATTTCGCCGTCTTTGTTGAACCGGTGACTTCCAGACGGTGAGATTATCACTTGCGTCGCAGAGCCGGGGCTCTCTGGCTTTGATTTTTGCGCGCTGTTTGGTAGCATCTCCTTACACGCTTACTGCCGAGTCCCCCTTTCTGCCGCCGCGTCCGTCACTGTTCAGTTCTAAACGCCGTGGAAAATATGTGCCCGTTAATACAGCTGAGAAACTTTTTAATACGAGTTGCGGAGAGTCTGGTGTGATTCTTGTAGTTATTTAGTTTCTTAAGAAGGGCTTTTTATGTATTACTAGCTTGGGGATTACTTGGTGAGTATAAATAAATCCGTAGGGACATTTCCGTCAGAAATACGTCCAAATTTTTCTTACTGCCCGTTTTGAAGTTTTTACAGGCGAGTTATGCGCCAGTAATAGCTGGAGTTATTGGAGAAAGCTTATTTCACAGACCGTGGTTGCAGAGGCAGCTGGAAAGGAAGGATCAAAGCCTGGTAGCAGCAAAGGAGCTCGTCCGAAAAGAGGCAGCTCCGGAAAGGCTCTCTCCTTGAACACGGCGAGCGATGGCTTCAAAGCCCGGTGGGCAGCCGCTGAAGCGAGCCCGGCCGGCCGTGTGTCCGTGGGCACTCTCGTCCCTCCGCTCCCCCAGCCTGTTGCTGCAGGAAAATTCAAAGGTAAAAGCGATTCACAGCACCATCAGCAGGCTGAGGTTGGAGACGAGGTCGAGCAGCCAACCTCGCGCGTGGCCGGGAGGTGACGAGGACTGGTATTTATGGTGAGGCTGCGGTCCCACGGAGAAAATGTCCTGTCTCCTGTTGGAAGCTGCAAAGAGCAAAGCTCTCCTGCTCCCGTCTGGATGTGGCAGCAGGCGGTGGCAGGGATGGATCCTCCGGCCGCTGAGGTGGAGCGGAAGGCAATTCCGATGCATCTTTTTGGGCTCTTTCCGCTGTATTTGGATGCAATTCCTTCCATTTTGCTGAGTTGAGCTAAAAAAGGAGAAGGGGAGAGGAGATGGGAGAACCCCAGAGCGGTCTGAGGGCCCCTGATGTACGTTCGTCTCTTGACAGTCCGCTCAGGTACTACGTTACGGGCTAAAACGGCTGTAGAAATATCTTCCAGCAAAATTTCAGGGAGTAGATCCAGGAGCTGAGCCCTGTGCTAATATTGACTCTAATGAAATCAGAATTTTACTGTGCCGTATACAAAAGAGACTGTGGGTTTTTTTTCACTGGGAATGAAGACTGGATCATCCTGACCTTGACCTTGAAGTCTTGAACAACCTGGCAAGCTGCTCGTGGCCTCGTCTCTTCCCCCTGGGCGATGCTGCAGACCGACGATGGCTGGTTTCTCGAGCGTCGGCTGGCGATGCGTTGGAGACCGCCACTCTTCCTGGCCACCCACCTTCCTCCGAGGGCTAGATAAGGTTTCCGAGGGCTAGATAAGTTTTGAAACAGGATTATTTTTTTTCTTTCAAGACGAATTCGTTCAGTCTCCGAATGGCAGAAGATCGACGGGGAGCGAGGAATCGCGAGGAGGCTTCTCGAGGGTGTTAAAAGCAAAATTTGAATGCTGGCGTTGCTCTCCGGACGGGGGCGGTGGGATGCGTGCTCCTGCGCCAGGGAGGAACCCAAGTGCCAAATTCATTTTGCGTTAGGGAAAATCCAGGCGATCAGGTCACCTAATGCGATTCTGTCTGGTGTAATCCTGAAGGTGCGAATGAAATTGAAGCTGGAGGGGTTTTAATTAATGAATCCAATAAGCTGTGGTATGGGAGCGCTCGCGGGGGGAGCTCGCTGACCCACCAAACTGGGATTTATCGGTACCCATTTTGCCGATGCAGGATCGAATTCCCAATAACAGATGTGGCTCTTTACTCTGAAGACATTGAATGCGGCTGGAAGACAAGGCTGACGGGCCTTATTTTTTTTAAAAAATAGGTATTTAGCCATTGGAACAGCTGGCCAAAGGTTATGATCGAATCTCCTTTGCTAACAAGGCTGGAAGGGTTGTTTTTTAAAAATATAGAGGTTTTATTTCACACGGGATTCCTGTGGCTTAAAGGATGTTGGAGATGAGGGCTGCAAAGCCGTGGCCTCATCGCAAGGTTCGGGCTCAGAAACGCTCATCTGAAGTCGGCTTCGTGTTTCTACATCAGCTGAATTCTGTGGTTTTTAACCGTGCTAAACCTTAAGAGCAGTAATCCTGCTCCATTATATAGACATCAGCTCATTTTTAACGCCGCCTCAGGTTCGTGAAGTGCAAAGATTCTGGGTGTTTAAGCCCAGTAAAATAAGACATCAGCCTGTGTTATTTTATCTTTCGGTGCTTAGGCAATGGCTAAATGTAAGCTTAGGAGGAGAAGTTTGTGACTGTGAAGGACTAGGGGAGGCGACAGCCTGGATCTGCTTTTCCACATGGGTATTTCCTCCAGGTAGAGTTAAGGGAATGGCTTTTTTCCTGGGATTTCTCGTTCATCGTGGCAGCTTCAAGTGCATGAAGAACGTTAACGTCCACACCCAGCAGTGGCCGGTATCGCCACCAGGAGTTTTGCTTACAAGGTGGTGTTTAAAAGGCAAACAAACAGAATCCTGTGCAGAATAGATGATTGTAATACATTGAATTGATTTAATTGTTCCCTTCACCGTGCTGTTGGACCTGGATAGACTTTATATATATATAAAGTAATATATTAAATATATATATATATTTTTATATATATATGTAAAGTCTTCCTCAATGGTGATTGTGGGTTCCTGCCTCGCTGGCCGTTAACATGAGGCTTTTAGGGAACTCCTCCTTTTGGGGTGCGATGTTTGTGCGACTGTAATGTTGGTTGGAACTGTCTTTTATCTCCCCCAAAGACAAAAAAAATTAGAAATATCCTCCAGTCCCGCGACCCGTTCACCTTATTTTCCAGCAGAGACGTCTTTTGGGGTCCAATAGAGTGATTTTCATAGTGATTATAGCGCTGGAAACCATGGTCTGGTGAGCGTTGGATGTGGTCGGCCTGTTCCTTCTGAGTGCCCGCGGCTGGTGGGTCGCAGCTTTCGGGGTGCAAGTCTGGGGGGGGCTTGGTGGTCGTCACACGCGTGGGGCAAATTGATTAGTTCGATCTTAAGGACACACAGGAATTCAGATTTCAAGTGTTTCAGAAAAATAAAACATTAATTTTAATGTTTAAGAAAAACCAAATGACCTTACCAAAACTAAAATGTGTTGCAGATGTTTCAGGAAAGGAAGAGTGTTTTACTGACCGTCAGAATCCTTGGAAGATCTCGTTCCTTAACAGGAGACCTCAGATCCAAGCCGTGCCGACGTGCTCCGGCGGTGGCCCCGCCGTCCCTTGGTGGGGTTTGGTGACGCTTGGTGGCCCAGCCAAGCTTTCCTGCCCTTCATTTCCCACCAAACCCCGTGCAGCAGATGCTTCAGCAGGTCTAAACCGTGCCTGGGCGTAAAGGGCTTGTCCCCCGTGGCCGCCCGTTCCCCCATCTCAGCGGGGCGATGGTGGCAGGGGTCTGCCCGCCGCCGCTCTGCCTCACCCACCGCTCTCCCCATAGCTTCTGGTCCCACGCAAAGGGCAAAGCCTTCGGTCTCGTACCAGCCATTCGTCACCTCTCTGAGGCCGGGCAGACGATGATTTCCCTCGTCGCTGCCTTTCCTCCGAGCTCTTCGGCGCATCCGTAGTCTGCTGTGGAGTCACCGGTCCCAGCGTGCGCTCCGAGATGGGCCCGGCGGCTTCAATCTTGCAATTACATATCATTATTTTGATCTGGGGAGACCTTTATCCAGTCCTCGTTTTTCCCTTCGTCCCTTGCTGGGCTCTCTCTGGTTTTATTGCTCTGTAATAGGCGCAGCAGTTATCCACCTTAGCCCGAAAAAGCCACTTTTGTTGGTCTTCACTGTGAGGACGGGCATCAGATCCGCTCTCTAATCTGCTCTCCCGGAGGGATTGTGGTAACTGAGGCCATGAGCGTCTCCGCCGATGTCGGGTGCGTGCTGGAAGCTCGTCAGCCGGGTGTCACTGCCCCGGCACCTTCGTTAGCCAGCCCCCGCGGCCTGAGCTGTGACAGCACCGCGGCGTGGACTCTCCTGGCGAAAATTACGGCGTTGTTTTGATGGAGAGGCTGCGTTTTCATCTGGGGGAATTTGGGCTTTCTCTTAAGCCCACCTTAGGCCTGCTGGTACTCAGTTTGCTCCCCGTTCCCCTGCCTGCTCGCTGACGATGCCGTGCTTTGCCTCCAGGTTCACGCCTGGGAGATCTCTGACCAGCTGCTGCAGATCCGTCAGGATGTGGAGTCGTGCTACTTCGCGGCGCAGACCATGAAGATGAAGATCCAGACTTCCTTCTACGAACTCCCCACGGACTCCCACGCTTCGTTACGGGACTCTTTGCTGTCCCACATCCAGAACTTGAAAGACCTGTCACCGGTCATCGTAACCCAGGTAGGTGCTGGGCAGAGTCTGTGAGCGAGAGAGGTCTGAGCCCGCTCTCAGCAGTAAAGCCTGGACCTAACTCGCTGTTGAGAGCAGACTGGCAGCCAGGCTTGTGTCACAGCCCTGCCAGAGCTGTTCCTCGCGGTAATTGCTTGCCTGCAGGTCACGCCGATGGCGGCCAGCTCCGGCTTTTGTCACTTCTGACTTTTTCTGAGACAAAGCCCTTGGTCTCCCTTGGTTGCTTTTCCTCCAGCGTGGAGCACGGAGAAGGCCGATGCCTGCAGGCAGCCCGGTTGCGCCTCCCAGTACAGGATTGTTTGCCCTCCTTCGTTATTTCGTTCCCTTAGTTAAATCAATTACTTTAACCTGCTGTTTGCTGTTTGGAGAGGGTGAGAGGAGGAACAGCTATTCCTGGGGTTTTCCCTGTGCTCTGCAATGGAGACAAAATGTTGATCTGCCCAGCAGCGCCCTGGGTGACCGGGGGGATTTCTCCCGAGGCGCTGGCGTGTTCTTGGAAATCCCTTTGCTCTCTTTACGGCATTCCCGTTATCCCTACACCTCATCGACACGGCTCTGCGGCACAGGTGCTGCACAGACCGAGGTGAGGGTGCCTGTTCAGCCCCTAAACAGCCCAGCAGAGAATAATATCCCCCCGATAGGGTGGGCATTCTGCAGTTAACCACAGGGATTGCGCACGCAACAGGGATATTCCGAATTAATATCCTGCCTTTGCAGGCTCGGAGTTACCCGCCAGCCCTGCCGAGCTCGGATCTGACGGTCGCGGCCCCCTTTCTCCTGCGCTGTTGGGCAGATTTCATCAATCACCACGCTTAACTGTGGGGTTTTTTTTTATTCTTCTTGCCCTTTCAGCTTGCTTTAGCAATAGCAGACCTTGCCCTGCAAATGGCTTCTTGGAAAGGCTGCGTACAAACACTGGTTGAAAAGTAAGTAATTGTTTATATCGTTAAACTCTAAATTGTTCCTCGAGTAAATGGGGAGTGGGTGGACCTGCACGGTCCAAAAAGGCACGCAGCGGCAAACGGCCCGACGATAGGAAAGTTTTTCTTTCTTGATTAATAATTTAAAGCGGTTTGGAGGGAGAGGTGGGTCTGGCTGTGGCTCTGTGTAACAGAGGCCGCTCGCGCTTCCGTGGACACGGCTCTCTCGGCCTCAGCGATTTTCTTCATCCCTGTTTTTGTTCCGTGATGATCCCTCGTCCCCTCCCAGCTTTAGCCGGGATTGCGCAGGGAGGTCGAATCGTTCGCTGCTGCTGCGGGTGTCCCGAGGCAGTCGCTGGGCTGGTGCAGCAGCGCCCGATTCCTGTGCGACACCGCTTTTCGCTGTCCCGTGTTTGCCGACACGGGGTGCCACGTGCCGAGACTGTCTCGCTCGGGCAGGTCACCGCGCTGAGGTGGCCCCGTGGTATTTCTGTAGCGGGAGGGAACTCGATTTGTCTGGGCAGCGGCACTTGGACGTGATGTGCTCGTGGGCTGGGAAAGCTTTTGCCATTTTTCTGTTGAAAATCCTGAGCTAAACCGCTGACAGAGGCGCCTCTCGGCAGCGCTCTGCCCTTGCAGCTGGAGCGTGTTTGGGCTGAAACTCTTCGAAATGCCCCTCCATCTCTCGCTGTGCTGTTAACCTACTTGCCAGTATTTGGGTTTTCTGCGTGCGCTTGGCTCTTGCCTGCCTTCACGCACCATCCTTCCTCGTTTCAGGTACAGCAACGATGTTACATCACTGCCTTTTCTGCTGGAAATCCTCACGGTGCTGCCGGAAGAGGTTCACAGCCGATCCTTGCGCATCGGAGCCAACCGCCGTACCGAAATCATAGAAGATCTGGCGTACTATTCCAGCACGGTCATCTCTCTGCTGGTAAGGAGACCGAGCAGCGACCGAGCCCTGGTCAACTGCTAAACAAGTTCACGCAGCTGCTTCTCCCCATCCTGATTATTCCAGGTTGGATGTGATCAAAAAGCTGTGTGAAACAAGCTGATTTTATATATTTCAGTTCCAAGCAGATCAAAATCACAGTCAGGTTCCTGTTGTCAGCACTGGATTGAAAATGGAGCTGGTTATGGAAACTTAATGACTTTCTCATCCTCTCAGCGGGACTCTCCGTGTGAGGACTGCGTTGGTTTGGCTGGTGGTACAGAGCGTGGTGCTTCTCCTGGCACTGTGTGCCTTAAGTTGAGGAAAAGGTCTTTAGTCTCTCCGCAGCCTTCTCTTCTCCAGGCTGAACACCCCCAGCTCTCTCAGCCTGTCCTCACAGCAGAGCTGTTCCATCCCTCTCATCATTTCGGTGCCCTCCTCCTGCCCCGCTCCAACAGGTCCATGTCCTTCCCGTGCTGAGGACCCCCGAGCTGGACGCAGGGCTCCAGGGGGGTCTCCCCAGAGCGGAGCAGAGGGGCAGAATCCCCTCCCTCGCCCCGCTGCCCACGCTGCGGGGGATGCAGCCCAGGATGCGGCATAAAGAAATGGAAGGCATGAGAAAACTGGTGGGTATGTAACACTAAGAGAAGAGAATGCAGACCATACAGACAGATGCAGGACAAGATTGATTCCTATGCTACCCTATAAAGCTCTCCCAAGGTTAGCAACAAGATGAACATGCATTTTAGGTTTTGGCATATTCTGCTCTCTTTATTAAAATGAATGAAATATAACCTTGACAAATGCTTGCAATCCAGGTACCAGAAACAGTGTTACCTCATAAGAAGCTATGATCAAGAAAACTATATAGGGAACCTATACAACCTCATTTCTGTAAAAACGTTTTTTTTTCCATTACTGCTTTTAGTAGTTCATACATCACATGTGCTAGTCACAGGGATTTGGGAGTTAATATAGCTTTGTAGAGGTCGAATAGTCCACCCTTCAAATCCGTATCTCTCTAATTCAGAAATAAGGATGTCGTGTGGGACTGTGTCAAAGGCTTTACAGAAGCCTAGGTAGATGACATCAATCGGTCTTCCCTTATCGACTGTTGCAGTGACTCCATCATAGAAGGCCACCAGATTGGTCAGGCATGATTTGCCCGTAGTGAATCCGTGCTGGCTTACTCGGATCACCTCCTTGTCTTGCATGTGCCTTAACATTGCTTCCAGGAGGATCTGTTCCCTGATCCCAGGACTGTGGGTTCAGTGGTTGGCTGGGACTGGATTCCTGTGGTAGTTTTGGGTTATTTGATGGTTAAGCAAGAAATTACTTCAGCCCATTATGGGTGTGTGTATGTAGATCTCTAGACCATCTCTAGACCATCTCTAGATTCATGCGCACCTCTCTCTCTATGTGTTAGAAGGAGGTCGTTCAGGTACTTAGAACTGTGATTTCTCTCTCTTCTCACGCCCCTTTCAAATGTAAGTACGTGCCTAATTTCTGACCACCGTGTGATAAGCCGAGGTGATGCGTTTAGCTGCCGGTCGCATTTAGTCTTGGCCAAGCAGGGAGACTGTAGCTGAATCTCCTGGTTCTTCTTCAAAGGTTTCCTCATCCCAGGAGCGTTCATGCTCTCCAAGAACTGGAGACAAATTCTGTTGTGGGCCCCAAAACAGGGCAAGTTTGGGGAGCAGCGAATAAGCGTTGAGGTGAATTGCTTCAGGGACTGAAAAGAAACTCTCCTTGCTGGCTCCTTCCTTTCCAGAGGGACTTCTCATGTTCTTCAGTGGTGTTTGAGCTCGGTAAACGAGTAGCCAACCTGATCCCTGACTCAGGCTTCAAATGGAGCATGTGCCGTAACCTCTAGAGCTTCCCGTAAACGTCTACCATTTCACGGCGCTTATCTAAAGAAGGAAAGATAACGTACCCTCGGCAGCGCCTATCAAGCCTGTAATTCCACCGAGCAGCTGGTTAACGTCACCGTGCTCCAGACGGAGCCGAGCTTTGGTGTGTTTAATTGCGGCGTCTCATCAGCAGGCGTCTCTCCGCTCTGCAGCCCCGTCTTCCCGTGCTTGGCCACGCTGCGCTCTGGGGTCTCTGGTCTCCCCGTTTCTCTTCCAGCCGCCCTGCTAGCCTGCTGGTCAGCGTTCCTTTGTTGATGGAATTGCAGCTGTTGAAGATAGAAGGAACTTTAGGATCCTTAATACTTTATCTGTGGGAAATGACCCATGTTTTGCTGTGCTTTTTTATGCCGTTTCTCCAAATTAGGGAATTTCAGTCTCCCTTTGACCCATGCCTACCCCTTGTTGTTAGACTGTCCTTTGGATTTCCTTCTCGTTGATGAGCAAACCTGTAGGGCTTCGGTTTTA